AGAAGAAAAAACAACAAAAGCAAAAAAAACGTTGATATTCAGACGGGAAGAAGGTTGCTGGACACGCGCAGAGAACTTTTGAATATTCTGAGATAGCCTAACGCCCGAAAGAGGCGCTAGAACAAAGGCGCGAACTAATAGTTCGCTCTTCTCGCTTACCGGACGCAGAGAGTGAGCAGATATCAGAGGAGACCTCGGCGCTGACCAAGCACTTGCGCTCAGACGGCAGCATCCCACGCAGTGGCGAGCTGACACGATTGAAGATTGGAGAGCAGCCCTGCGACTGGGACGCCAGCAGAGACGGCCAGGCCAGTTCGCTAGCCCTCAGCCAGGGGGACGGAGGGGGGGACAGGAGAAAACAAAAAAGGAGCACAGGCGCCCGCCAGGACCCCCCACCCACCCCACCGGCAAAAAGCTTAAGGATAGATGACCCCTTCCCAGCTTCGCAGAGAGCAAGTCTGTCACTGCAGTGGATTGGCCCACGCATGCTGAGGACGGCCAACGCAGCCCAGCGCGCGGGCCAGAAGCGAGCTTCCCCACATGGGGGATCTGGGCAAGGAGGGTCAGCCACGCGCAGAGGGGAGCGGGGGGAGAGGGGAGGGTTTCTTAGAAGCACCCCTGCTTCTTAGAAGGCGCGGGCCTTATCTATAGATGTAAGGCCGGCGCCTTCTAAGAAGCAGCCTGCTTCTAAGAAGCCCCCCCCCCTCCCCCCCCCCCCCCTCCCCCCCCCCCTTCCCACGTTTTCTGGGGAATCGTCGATTCCCCAGAAAACATGGGAAAATATGGGAAGTGGGGGGGAAGACAAAAACCCAGGAAATATAGGAAAATATGGGGAATCCTTTTATTTGTGTGCATTTATTTGTGTGTCCCAGGGCCCCTTCAATCTGGCCAAGGAGGGGAGGGGGCTCAGCGGGCGCAAAAGGAGCTGCGGCAGATTCGGAGGCGCCCTGGGAAGGCCGGGCGCCGTCGGGGAGAGCGGCCGGCCCCCTCGGCGACCACCCGGGCGCTTGTCCTTCCAGGCCGGCGCGCGGCCAGGCGGCCCGTGGGAGTGGCTCGCGGGGCGCCCCATAGCACGGCCGATCTCGCAGGCCGCGGCAACGCTTCGGAAAAAGAGCGGCGCGCGCCCCACGTCCGCTCTGCAAGCCGCGCGCTGCCCCACGAGGGAGGGGCGGCGCGAGCTCGCGGAGCAGAGGCTCTAGTTCTCGGCGGCTTGCCGTCGAAGCGCCGATGGACGTAGAATCGCATGACCGCGGGCGAGGGCGCTCCAAGGGGATCCCCCAACAGCGAAACAAAGTGCCCGCGCGAGACATCGGCGGCCGCCTCGAAGAAGCCCAGGCAGAACGCGCCGCCACAGAAGAGCTCACGGCAGAGATTCGCACCGCTGATCTTCACCCAGAGGGACATGAACCTTGCGAGCTAGGTCTCGCGTTCCATGACTACGTGGATGACGCCTTGCGCAAGCGCGTTGCGAGTCGCTTCTGCACAGTGAGGTCTCGAGCAGATGGTGCGCCAGGCGCGACCACATGCTCCATCCAAATATGAACGAGTTGATCATGTCATTCCAGGGGCGGGGGCAGCAAACGCGAAAGCAGGCCAGTAGGAGGCGCCCCCTACCCGTGGCGCGCACCTCAAATGGCGCAGGTACGTGCATCGGGTGTCTGGCCAGGTTCGCTTGCAAGTTCAACAACGAACTGCAAACGAGGCCCCCTGCTACTACAGTTAGTTATGGGTATATAGGCCGACGCTGGCGTCAACCACGCATGCCGCATGTAAAACGCAGGGCAACGTTCCTCGGTGAGGGCGCGGGACCCGCGGCGGCAACTCTCGAGGCCCTCCTTTCTTTCCACGAGCAGATCCTCCGCACCCAGAGCAGCATCGCAGAATTGGGGCGTCGGGCATCTCGGCGGGCAGCCGCGGAGTGGCAAACCGTGACATCGCAGATCAGTATCGGCCCTGCGCGTTCTCCAGCCACGGCGATCGGCACCCCTCGAAAAGGAGCTTCGAGCTCGGCGGTTGAAGCGGCATCAGAAGTGGGCGCAGCAGCCCCGTTGCCACGCTGCTGACCAGGGGTCTCTGATCCTTGCGATTCGAGCGATGCGTGGTCGGCGCCTTTCACTTAGCGCGTGGCGGTGGCTACCTCAACACACCGCATGCGCCCCCACGGGCATTCAGATTTGTAGTTGATGTAGCTCTTCTTCGCCAGCTGGGGTGGGGGGGGCGCCCAGAAAAATCGACGACTCGGACTTCCGCCACTCTGGCTTTGTTTGACGACGCTGATTTGCCGGACTGGCTCGGACGAGCGGACGCGATGCAGTTTCGGGATGCCACCTGGACAACAAAAATTCTTCTTAGGTCCCTCCGAAGGTTCCTCGCATTATCTCTGAGACATTGAACGTTATGAATACCGCCGCTGGTTGACCAGATGTGCCTAGACGCTTGCAACACAAAAGCACATGACCCATCATCTTCATCTGGGTCATGGGTTATACAGGATCTCGGG